TGTGTGTGTGTGTGTGTGTGTGTGTGTGTGTGGGTTGGGGGGGTGTTCAAAAACCTAATCTGTAGGGGTCATAGTTTTAATATTTTAATCTAATGTAATAATCTCCATAAGGTACCATCTTTCTGCAGTATTGATCCATATTGAGGCAAACACTAAACTGTAGCCTAAATACAAACTGAAGCTTACGACCACTCGTGCTGCTTAAAACGTTTCATATTTGTGTTATAATTTCTTGAGAACTTATCAGCTACAGCTGTATTGGCAAAATCTTTATTTGAGCTAAAAATGTATTTTTCCGTAATTTGATGTTAATTTGTACATTCTCACCGCATTTAGCAAGGCTGATTTTTTTTTTTTTTTTTAGATTTTAAAAGGTCTGTTTAAGGACATTTGGAGTATTTAATGAGGATACGAATAAAAATAGAAACTCAAACTTGTGTTTTATTTTTCTTTGTGACCACCTGTACAATGACAATAAAAAAAAATTCTTGGGATTTTATGGGAATAAACCAAAATAGAACTGGAATTGAAAATATTTATAATTGGAACATAACAGAGATTTTAAATGTTGCTGTAGTAGTTACCTTCATGTTGTCCTGTGTGTTATTATTCCCTTTGAGCCAGTGGGTCATAACACAATGGGGGCTTGTCCGGGATAACATAGTTCAGCTAAATCTTCACTAAAATGAGAAAATATTTTGTCTTGCTCAGTTCCCTTTTCACAACAGACCAATATAGCGACACATTCTTCCCTCAGTCCTGAACAAAACCCCGTCCTAATTATGACTCCCACATGCAATACGAGTCATATTGTTTTTGTACTGTTTTTTGGTCAACCGTATCATGGAGACGGTTGCGCCGATCAACATGGAATTTGGTAGAATTGCAGACATGTCCAACCTACACATCAGAAGCCAATGGTTTTATGATAGACCCCATATTTGGGGAGGGGGCTCCATCTAAAAAGGGGGTGTGTGGGCATACAAAAATGCTTATAACACAAAAAATATTCAACATAAGAGCTTCAGATATTTTTTGTTGTTCAGCTCTGATGAAGGGCTATCCATCGGGTTCATCAATTAGCATCCCCTATCCTCTCCAGACCCCCACCTAAAACAATAAATCCATTTTGATGACTTGTGAGTTCTGGTGAATTGGTGCTTTGTCTATGTGCAGTGGTCATATTTGTTACAGCTGCAGTATCTAGTTTTAAACTACATTTAATGCAGAAGGGTTGTATTTCTACTCAGAGCTACAAATCTGACATCATTTTCTACAAGAAATTTACAAAAAAAAAACATTTTTGACACATTGTTTGAGCTCACACAGCTGTGTTGAATAGGTTTTTGACCTGAAGTCCCTTCAGACAACTAAATGTGCACTCAGTTACAAAAAAGAGTGATGTTTTTCATTATTTGTTCCCTTTAAATGCTGACAATCGTGCCATTTAAACTCCAGAGTAAATTCCATTTATTTATTCATATTTTATCACCAACTTGATTTAACAGAAGCAATTAGAGAGGAGAAAGCATCAAACATCATGTTGTGAAAGCTAAGTGGAATAAATATGAAACTGGGGTGAGCATCAGATGGAAGCGTCACAGAGACAACAACCATGCTTAGCTGAATAAGATTTGTTTAAAATCTCCAACAAGCAGAATTCAATCATTTCACACCTTTAGGTTTCCTATATCTGTGTCTGTGTGTACACAAAAATCCACAATGTTGTGATGAAACAGAACAAGTGTCACATTTTTCACACATCCCGGAGGAAAAGCACCGTGTGTGATCAAATGTAGGGCATATAGGAGGAAGCACGCTGAAAAGCATATGGCTCAGTGAGGAAGACTGCACTCACTGGCAGAGCTGATAGGAGAAACAAGGCCAAATTGAGATCCGCTGCAACTTCACAGCGATTTGTGTGTGTGTGTGTGTGTGTGTGCGTGCGTGCGTGCGTGCGTGCGTGCGTGCGTGCGTGTGTGTGTGTCACAGTGGAAGAGTGTGAGAAAGAGGTTAGGATGAATGTGTGTGTTTGTAAGTGCAGCCCAGGCATTATGGAAAAGACAGATGGTGTTTCAGAAATTGTATTTAATTCACTACACGTCAAAAAATATGAATTTAAGCTCCATCACTTAAAACGCAGTCAGTCAACTGAAAAGCACTTTTGAAAAAATACTATATATATAAGATGAGTGGAAAAGCAAAGAAACCTTTAAAAGCTGACCAGTTCTACCCAATCAAGTATTTTGGTTTGACAAGGAGCATGTGACAAGTGGGTAAAGTTGGTAAAGGTCAATGGAATTTAAAGAAAATGTGATTTTTATATTCTGAAACTCAAAATACATGAGTTGAGATTCAAGTACAACAGTGTGTACTCACACCATCATAATGGATTTATTGATGCCTCACATTATGCTTCATTTAGGATTTAAAATGGCGTTTTGTCCTTGTAGGTGGTGGTCTGATCACAAAAATCACAGCAGATGAGGGGTCAGGGTGAGTGGGTGGAATAGGTCATTCATCTGTGGTTCTTARGAAATGACTGAATAACTTTTAGTTAGGAAAGATTCTAAACATTTTAGCTTTAATTCTTTCTAGGTATAGTGAAGCAGCAGAGCTGCTGACATGTAGCCAGTTTTGTAAAGGATTCCACAGTAACACTCTCCTATTACTATTTGACCATTATTCTTTTGTTTAATCACATTTTTATTGCTACCCCTCCCACAGTGTGCACTGTAAAAAATGAAATGTTGCATTTACTTAACCATGTTATGTTACCTGGTTCTACTTAACTGAGTTGAGTAAATTCAAAGCAATATACCAGTTTTTTAGCCAAAGAACATGAGTATGTTGCTTTGAATTTACTCAACTCAGTTAAGTGGAACCAGGTAGCGTAACATGGTTAAGTAAATCCAACATTTCATTTTTAGAGTGTGGATATTTTAAAATAAATACACCAAGACTTGCAGCTCAAACAAATGGGCAGAAATCCCAGGGAGGTCAAGTATCACCCCAATTATGGGAAAAAGAAGATTGCTCCCTTCACTTTTAAGCAATATAAACAAAACCTATCCACCATAAATATTGATTTAAAAAATCCATTCAAAGTCACTCCCTGACACATCAGAACATGTCTGAAAACTGGACAGGTGGAATATTTGACCTCTTAGCACTGAGGGAGGCTGGGGTTCAWTCCCCATTGAGGAATACCCGATTCTATAATTGTTCTACTTAAACCAAAACACTTAATCTTGGTTCACACAGCAAGATAATTGTGCTGATTTTTGACCCAGTTTTGCRACAATCTTAAGAAACCCCTGATTACTGTGATGGCTCTAAAGATAATCTGATGATATTCCTGCTGTGTGGTGTGTTAAGAGTACGCGTGCACCGACTGCAGTTTTCTGGCTAATCACCGATCTTTAAAAAGTCTGACCTGCTGATTCTGACTTTGGCCAATACCAACTTTTTTTAAATAGCTGACACACTTGTGTTATAAGGTCACAATACACCTTTAATGTTCCAATCTCATTTTATTGATGAATATTGAACAGTACCCTTGAAACAATACAAGCTTGTTTTAACTGGACATTAGGTAGTGCTCACAGCTGAGCACAAGGGCACAGTGGCTGATTTTCAGACMTTTGCAGAGGCAGATGAGAAGCTTTTCCACTGATCTTATCTATTGGCCACTCCCCGATCTCAAAAAGCGAAGGAAATCAACCGGTGGATTTATCAGCRCATCTCTAGTTAAGACTGATCTACTCGGCTCAGAATGACGTTGAGACCGCTCCGCTTTGTCTTGACYCAMTGTGTGTGGTGTTCCCYGAGGTCAAACGAGCTCACAGCCTGTTGAATGTGACGTGTAGCCAATCAGAAAGAGGTGATGGAAACACAGAGGAGAATCCGAAGTATACAGAAGACAAAATAACTGCAATGGTGCACAAGAATGACTGTTGGACGTCGRAGATGTCTTTTTGTTGTTGTTGTTGTTTTCTCTCTCTGTTAAACACTCTCTGTCCACAAACGTTGCCCATTGATTCTTCCTTTTCTGCCATATTTATTTACTCTGAGCTCAGGTTTGATCTCGAGARGTCTCGCAAGATTTCCCTTCTGACATCTGCATGTTGATCTGTTGGTGTGTGGTGTGCCTTTGTTGTGTGTAGGAACAAACCTGTTGTATCGATGAGTATTTTTCCACGTGTGGGTTCTCTCAGGTTTTGAAAATCAACTGACGATTGTGAAATCTAACTTAAATAGAATTATTAGAGCCTTATTTTACCATTAACCAAAAAAACGAACAAGTTTCTGTACTCAAACCTTTATTTAATCAGACAAATGTCATAAGATTAAAGCTCTGTTTTCACACAAACCCAACATGCAAACTTCACACAGAAAGCTCCAAACAAAGGTTCAAACTCAGGACATGCTTGCTGTGAGACAAACACTAATCCATCCATTTCTTTTAAAAAGTCTATTTCATTACATAACTTGCACTAGACTCATTTTGATTGATTTTTTTTCTCTTTAAACATCAGCACAGACAAAAATAATGTGATTTCCTGTGATATTCCACCTGTTACTTCAGTCTGCAGCAAGTCCTTTAGCAGAGATTTAATATCWGTCTATAATGGAAAATAAATCAGCCTGTTTGGTCCTCCTCCTGAAGTCATTTTATTAAAAAATAAAAAGACATGAGGACGAAACAGAAAATAGTTGCACTGCATCACGTAAAAAATTAAAGGCTGAGCAGKTTTCTGCCTCACTGCAAATTGAGGCAAAAAAAAAATCAATCTTTCCAAATGAGCCTGAATAAAAAACAAAATGTGACAAAATACCAAACGCGCAGCTCTATATTACTGCGTTCATGCAGTCTTTTTTCTCGTGTCTCAACAGTTTCTTACCTATTTGGCAGAGAAGCAGCAGCTGAGAGATGAAAACGTCGGTCCTTCTTGTGAAGTCCATCGTTCTTCGGCGCGAGCTGACCGGAAGGAGGCTGAGCTGAGCGAGGCTTTCAGGGACGCACGAGCCGCTAACAGCTCCTCATTCCGTCTGTCCTGACTCCTGGCTCGGCTCGGTTCTGCTGGGCTCGGTTTGAGGAGAGCGGGCTCGCGTGCTGCCTGGCTGGTTGGGTGAGCGTGGACGCGCGCTCACGCACGCGGAGGAGAGGGGCAGCGCGCGCGCCGCCCACTGCCTTTAAAGGAAATGACTGGATGGCTCGTTTGTCTAWCAGGTAGAAAGGGGAGAAAATCACTTTTTTTGTTTTGTTTTTTAAATAAATGTTTCTTGTGACACAACCTAAGACATACTGATTTGTCAATGCAAAATGTTTTTTATGAAGCCATGTTTTATTGGGTTGACTTCAAAACTTGATCAGCTGTAGACATGCATCTATTGATTATTTTCTGAAAGTTTCAATTAAATCCATAYAGTGGTTCAGAAGATATTTTACTAACAGACAAATACAGTATTGTCAACTCCAAATAATTAACAGCAAAATTTTCAATCAAAATCCTATGCAATATAATAGCGCTCTAAATAAGTTGGTGATCATACTCAGCTAGCATATTTCAGGACAATATCTGTGCAGTAGGCTAAATAAAAAATATTTTTATGTTTTTTTTATTTCAACAGATTGTGATCAGTTTGAGCTGGATTGGCTCCAAACGTTAATCAGTTGTTGGTGTTCATCCGGTAATTATTTCCTGAAAGTGTCAATAAAATGAATCAAGTGGTTCATGAGATATTTTGCTAACAGATGGATACACTTTGCCTTTGCCTTTTGGCAGCAATAATAAATCTGTTTCTGCAGCGTTGACAAAAACAATGCTGGTACGTAAATGTAAGAGAGGAGTAGAGAAGTTCCAGAGCATTTAAAAATGTTCTCGAAATGAAATTCACACAGGTAGTGCTACAGCTAGCTGCTACTGCTGCTATCTGCACTTTAAAACAAACAAACAGAAGCCTATGCAAATGTCTGCCTAACAAAACTGACAACACTTAAAATTTCTAAAACACCTTTGTCGTGAACTGAAATATACATTTTTTCATCAGTCTGGTCGGAAATAAACAATTTTTCCAAAATAAGGTTGTCTAGTGGTGCGTTCACACCAAACGCGATTTCAGCATCAGGAGCCTCAGGTTTACATACAAAGTCTATGGTGGACGCACTTCAAGCA